GCTCTCTGTCCTTCAGCCTCTTAGCCGAACTCAGGTGACAGAAGGAGAGGGGAGGAAGAGGAAGGGCAGGGAGAGAAGGGGAGGAGGGAGAGGAGGGGAGGCGAGGGGAGGGGAGCTTGCGGTCCTGCCCTATCCTTGCTCAGGAGTCGGCAGTGGATGGTTGTGAAGATTCCTGGCTGTCTTCAGCACCCGCTGGCGAACCCCAGGCTGGTCTTTGAGACGTGTCTTCCAGGCCCTGCACCCCGTGGCCCAACCCACACCATCAGACCAGTGGCCCACACCAAGGAACCACGTGTGACCTGGGACCTGACTCGATTTCTGCTTCCCGACCCCCTGGGTCGTCCCCAGCCCTCAGCAGACCCGGTTCCCCAGCGCTCTGCCCGCCAAACTGTCCTTAGAAACCCTTTCTCCCAACTTCTCGGGGACACGGATTTGAGGATTTCCTCCTGTCTCCCCGCATGGCGCCCGCGGCCTTGGCTGTTTCTCTGCTGTGCGCTCTGCTGCCCTTGTCCTGGTGTCCCCTGAGCAGTGCCATGGGGAGGGCGTGGGCTGTGAGGCCTGCCGCTGTCAGGGAGTGGGGCGCAGGGGGCTGGGAGCTCCGGGTAGGAGAAGGGCTGGGGTGGGCCGGGACCCCCAGCAGCCCCTCCCAGCGGCGCAGCCCCTGGCCCCACCCTGGCTTCTGGGCCTCCGGGGCAGGTGCCCAGACACGGGAGACGCAGGTTAGGCCCCTGCTCCCGCCCAGGAGCCCAGCCCGGTCCGAGGGTCATTATCGCAGGGGTGGGTGGGGAAGGGCAGGTCCTTCCTGGCTGGGGGCGGGGCAGGGCAGAGGCCAGGTGGCACTGCGGGTGTCCGGTCCCCTCCTGTGCCCCTTGCAGTCCAGCAGCCCCAGCCGTTCCCGGCCCCCGCCGTCTTTCAGACTTATCTGCGTGCAGGAGACAAATTTGGGAGCAAAGAATCCCAAGCAGCCGCATAAATCACATTAATGACCGTTCAGATTAAATCAATCGCCGCCATAGAATCAATCGATTTAGTTGCTGCTAAGCAAACCCTCCCGCCAGTCCCCAGCCCTGGCTCCGCGAGGCTCTCTCTCCAACCGGCCCGGCAGGCCGAGCTCTCTGGAGTCACCGGTCTGGGGGCAGCTGGGCCTTGGACCTCAGAGGCCACGGGCCACAGCATCCTCTGCCTTCCCCAGCCGGGGGACTTGGGCCAGGGGACCCTGGGGAGGGGCTGCGGCCCCAGGGAGCGTGGGACGGAGACACCACACACAAACCCACGGCCTCCCAGGAACCAACCGGAAAACAAAAAAACCCACTCACGGTTCCAAGAAGCGCTAAGTGAGTCTGGGACTAAAACCTCCCAAAAGACGTGTGTGATTATTAGAGCAAAGGTGCAAACCACGAAGGCCTGGAGGTCAAGACTTGCAGAGATGCCAGATCTCACCGAACTAGTCCATAAATTCGATCAACTCCCAACAGGAGCTCCAAGGAGGTTCTTTGAGAGGAGCATGGAACTGCTCTTAAAATGGAGATGAGAGGGCCGGGCGCGGTGGCTCACGCCTGTCATCCTAGCACTATGGGAGGCCGAGGCGGGCGGATTGCTCAAGGTCAGGAGTTCGAAACCAGCCTGAGCAAGAGCGAGACCCCGTCTCTACTATAAATAGAAAGAAATCAATTGGCCAATTATATATACAAAAAATTATCCAGGCACGGTGGCCCATGCCTGTAGTCCCAGCTACTTGGGAGGCTGAGGCAGGAGAATCACTTGAGCCCAGGAGTTTGAGGTTGCTGTGAGCTAGGCTGATGCCACGGCACTCACTCTAGTTGGGGAACAAAGCGAGACTCTATCTCAAAAAAAAAATAAAAATAAAAGTAAATCGAGATAGGAGAACCAGGCCGGGCAGAGGCAGCAGGAAGGTGTCTCTGCGCCTCTCTGAACAGCGCTGGGCTGTCTCTAGTCACATGGACACACCTGAGCCTCTGCCCCGGCTGATGGTGGAAAAAACCCCAAACTCTGTCAATCTGAGCCAAATGTGTGTGAGTGGCCCGGAGCACATGGCCGCAAGAGGTCCCGAGAGAAGGGGCCGCCGCGGTCTCGGGGCTGCAGTTGGGTTTCACACGTTCGTGCGTAAGAGGCCGGGTCAGCACGAGGAAGGGGCACAGTGGTTTTGCCCCGAAAGGGCAGGACATCCCACAGCAGGTCTTACAGGTTACAGGCGGGTTTAAAAGTTCTCTGATTTGTAATTGGTTAAAGAAACGCAGCCTTGTCTAAGGGCTGGGAATGCGTTAAGACAGGGGAGTCCGTGAGTCAGAGACCAGGCAGGGAGATTCACAGAAACTCGGGCGGTCTGCAGAGTGAGTGGCGGCCGCAGGTGTGGGGTGAGCTCTGCCTGGCGGGACAGACCCAGCCTGTTAGCGAGCTGTTGACACAAAGGACGTCTCCAGGAAGGGAGACCAGGCGTGACCAGGCTGTCTGACCTCCCTTCTTTTTTGGCTAGAGTGCCGTGGCGTCAGCCTCGCTCACAGCAACCTCAAACTCCTGGGCTCAAGTGATCCTCCTGCCTCGGCCTCCCGAGTAGCTGGGACTACAGGCGCTTGCCACCATGTCTGGCTAAATTTTTTTAGTAGAGACGGGGGTCTTGTTCTTGCTCAGGCTGGTCTCGAACTCCTGTTCTCGAACCTCAAGCCATCCACCCGCCTCGGCCTCCCTGGGTGCTAGGATTACAGGTGTGAGCCACGCCCGGCCTGCTCACAGCAGCGACTCAGGGTATTTCTGGGGTCCTTGTGGCCAAGAGGGGTCCATTCAGTCAGCTGGGGGCGGGGGGGCTGAAGATTTTATTTTAGTTCACGCAGTGATTCCACTCCCAGGACTATTTGCTGGACAAATTCTTCCACTTGTGCAAAAGCAGCTGCGCTCACAGCGCCCACGACCGTGGGGCAGGGGCTGGCGTGGCCTCCTCGAGGCAAAGTCAGAGCGCGCCTGTCAACCGAGGAAACAGCAGACGGGAGCAGGAGCCACAAAAGCAAGTTACGGAATAACATGAACCCCACAGGATGATGCATCTCAGCACTGGGGACCTAACCCCACAGGATCACCGAGGCGCTCAGGGGAGGGCGTCCCTGTGGGGCTGAGGACGCTGATGCCCAACTCTTCTTTTTTTTTTTTTTTAGGACAGGGTCTCGCTCTGTTGCCTGGGCTTGAGTGCAGTGGCATCATCACAGCTCACTGCAGCCTGCAAGCGATCCCCCCGCCTCGGCCGCCCAGTAGCTGGGACTACAGGCACCACTACGCCCAGCTAATTGGTTTTTTCTTTTTAATTTTGTAGAGATGCGGTCTTGCTCTGCTGATCAAGACCCAGTTCTGGTCTTGATCCCCTGGGCTCAAGCGGTCCTCCTGCCTCGGCCTCCCCGAGTGCTGGGATTACGGGTGGGAGCCGCTGTGCCTGGCCAACATTACTTCTTTAAGAGGCTGGGGGGCTCAAGCTGGATCAAGTCTGGTGAGAACACGCACAATCTTGTCCTCAACGTTTAGAATGTTGCCGGGCGTCAGTGTTCTGGGTGAGGACGGCTCGAGCTGGGGGCTCTGCGGGTTTCTGTGCAGGGGTGCTGTGTGGACCCCCTGCTAATGGGAAGTGGGGGGCCCAGGCCCAGCCCTCCCTGCCCACCCTGCAGCCAAGGCTGCTGCACCCCGGCGTGTGGCCAGGCCCCCCTGCTCCCCGTCCTGCTCGGGCCACTGCTAGACGCCGGGGCTCCCGGGGCAGCTGGTACTTGGAAGGTGGTTTCTGAGACCAGATCTGTGTTGTCTGCAGACACTTGGGTGGCTGTGTGTGCATGTGTATGTGTGTCTGTGTGCACGTGTGTCTGTGTGCATGTGTATATCTCTGAGCATGTGTATGTCTCTGTGTACGTGTGTGTGTGCATGTGCGCGTGTCTGTGCACACATATGTATACATGTCTCTGTGGATGCATGAGTATATATACGTGTCTGTGTACATGTGTCCCTATGTGCATGTGTATGTGTCTGTGTACACATGTATGTCAGTGTGTACATGTGTATACATGTCTGTGCATGTGTGCATGTGTGTTCGAATGCATATGTGTCAGTGTACCCTATGTATACATGTCTGTGTGTGCATGTTTATGTCTCTGTGTACATGTGTATACATGTCTGTGTGTGCATATATATACATGTTTGTGTGAATGTGTATATGGGTCTCTGTGTGAATGTGTCCACATGCACATGTACATGCATGTGTATGCACATGGAGGCATGCGTGTGTGCCTGTGCACATCTGTGTGCGTGTGTGTGCTGTAGGCCGCCCATGTGGCTGGTGTGGGGTGTCCTCTTTTTTCTGGCTGAGAAATGGCTGTTGCCCGTTAGAGCCGGAGCTACTAGGAGTGTCCCTGGTGCATTAAAACGCGCTGCCCTTCGCCGCCTCGTGTTGGTCCTCACCTCGCGTGGGGCAGGCGGGCAGGTGGCCCAGACTGCGGCCTAACGTCCCGTAGCCACTGCGGAGCGGCCGATGCTCGCGTGTGGGCAGACTGCCGACGGGGACGTGCCCGCCCGGCAAGCTGCCGACAAGAGGGCGGCAGGGTGGCACCAGCTGCTGGGAGAGGCCCCCGGGTGGGGCGGGGCCACTCACCTGCGCACACGCGTGCAGAGGCAGGCGGGCACGAGCACCCCACCTGCACACCCACTGACACACGGTCTCACACAAACGCCACGTGTCCCAGTGCGGGGGAGGGGGCGCCCTCAGAGAGGCCGAGGGGGGCTGAGGGCATGGGGGGGCCTGGGGTGGGGGCGCCACAGCCAGGCTGGGGCCTGTCCCACACGAGGAGGAAAGGACACGGGTGGGGGTCCGCGTCAGGGAGGGGCCCGCACTCACCGGGTGAGTTCTTGGCTTCACGCTGGAAAGAACCGAGTGCGGCCAGCTGGGGACAGAAGTTTATTGAGACGAGACAAAGACCCCACCCCGCAGACGGGGGGGGGGCGGGAGGGGGGGGTGGTGGTCCTTTCCCGAGCAGGAGAGCCCCGGGGACAGTGGTCCTGTCACGTGTCCAAACAGCCGTGCAGACCAGCAGCGTCAGGCCAGGCCAGGGCGGGTCTGCCCTCACAGGAAGGCGAGTCTGTGACGGGTCCTCAGGGGTCCCGGCAGCGACTTGCTGGTGACGTCCTGTTTGGAGGGGGGGGTCTGGTATGGGAGCAGGGAAACCGAGGCAGAGAGGGCTCAGGCCTTCTGGGTGTTGGGCTTGGACGCCGGGAGAAGGGTGGTTGCTCGACTGCCACCGTCAGAAGGGAACGTCCCCCAGGGTGAAGCCACGATGGGGGAGGCGGAGGGGACTTCACTCTGGCCACCAACTTGGGGCAGCCAAGACTCGGGGGGCTGCACTGCAGCTGTGGCCTTGGGGACGAGCCGGTCGTCGGGGCTCCTGCGCCATTCCTGGGGCCTGCGACAGGCTGGGCCTCCCAGGGGTCAGGCTGGGGTCAGAGCCGGCATTTTGTCCACAAACTGACCTGGCCTGGCCCAGGCCGCAGGCCCTAGGAGGGGGCAGTGGGAGCCCCACCTCGAGGCACCTGCGCCTGCTCTGACCTGGCCTGTGGGGGCCTCTCAGCCGGGGGCCGGGTGTGTGCTTGGGTGGGCAGACAGCACGGGACACACGCGTGTTTCCGCCCACGGAGTCTTTATTTCTTTTCTTGGGTGACCCCTCTGGGACCCCCCGGGGCCTGCCCTGGAGAAAGCCTGGCAACCTCAGGGCCCCCCGGGGGGAGGGAGGTGCCCGAACAGGCTGTGGGGGGCCGGGGCCACCTCGAAACGTGGCAGTCGGCCTGGGGCCGGGGACTCCAGCCCAGACAGGCAGGTCTTGATCTGGGGGCCTCTGCCAGCCCCCAGGCGCCAGGTGCCCAGGGTGTGCCTGCTTGGGTCCTTGCCGGCCCTGTGGTGGGTCAGGCAGGGTAGAGCTGCCGGGCCAGGTCCCGCTTGTTGACCTTGCCCATCTGGTTCCGGGGGATCTCCTCCACCAGCAGGAGCTCGGAGGGCACGGCGTACGGGGCCAGGACGCCTCTGTGGAGACAAGCGCGGCCCGAGTGAGCCTCACTGCCATGCTGCCGCGGCAGGAGCCCCGGGCCCGGGCTGGCTTTCAGCAACAGGGACAGGCAAGCTGAGCGACCGCACGCGTCTCTGCCCCCAGAGCTCGGGGCAGCTGGCCGCAGGAGGCGGCTGGAGTCCCGCAAACGCTCGTGCGGCGCAGACACCACGGCGTGTGCAGGCCTTGGTCAAGGTCACGTTGAGGATGGGCCTGCCGGGAGCAACCACTGGACGGCCAGGGAAAGGCCCCCGAGCTGGAGCTGGAGAGAGCCGTACCACCCACGGCCCGTGCCCTGCAGAGCCCAGAGCACAGGGAAGCTTCCGGAGGGGCTGGGAGGTGGGGGCAGCCGCTCCATCCACACGGGGCACTCGGACACCTGAGCGAACCTCCAAGTCCCGCAGGCACCAGCCAGGCGGCGGTGACACCCTCACAGTGACGCCCTCGCGGCCTGTGGTCCCCCACACGGCACAGCCGGGGCGCCCCCTGCAGGCAGCTGGGGTGACCTCGGGACTTGAGTCCAAAAGCCAAAGTGAGCGGGCGCTAAGAGAAAAGACCCCGGCGAGTCCCGAGGACGGGGCTTTGAAGCCTGGGGAACGTGCCACTTCCTTCCGTGACCCCGAGGGTCTGGACCCCACAGGCCACAACGTGACAAACCCTCGGAGCAGCTCCAAGGCAGAGAGACCTCGGACGGGTCTCTATTTTCCTCTCTTCGACAGAGTAATTGTTTAAGGAAAGCAGCGACCGGCCAACGAGACCCTCCCTGCCTTTGTTAGGCCGCAGGGCTCCAACTGCGATTCTGCAGATCCCGGGATCTTTAATCGCCCAGCTGCGCTGCCCTTGATGAAACAAGGATTCCTACTGTTTGCAAAATCATGTTGGACGAGCCAAAAATATCCTTAGCGCCGAGGAGGCGGCAGGCGGGGGGAGGCAGGGAGGGAACGGGAGGAGAAAATTCCAGGTGACGCTGTGGGGCCCGGCACCACCGGGACAGGCGGAGGAAGGCCCTGGGGGGTTTGGGGTACAGTCTCCCAGGTGGGGCGCGGCAGGCTGAGCGGGAGGGACGGTGGCCTCGGGCGCCAGGGGCTCTGGGACAGGAGGAGCCAGGACAGAGGTGGGGACGGCGCTGGGGGTCCCACCGAGGGCAGGAGGGGAGAGGCTGTGTGGGCGCAGGGGCGCACGGGTGGGGCAGGGAGGGCCGCCCCTGGCTCAGCCTCCGCTGTGGTCCGACCGCAGCGGCTCTGGCACCGAGGGGGTCTGTCCCTGCACCAGGACGGAGCTTCCCTGCAGCCTCAGAGGACCCGGAACAGGAGCGTCTGCTCCTCGGAGGGTCGCTCTGACCCGACGCTGGGGCGGGAGGCCCCGTGCGCGCCGCCGTGAGACTGGGCGTCCAGATCTGCGCTGCGTGGGGGCAGAGGCTGTGTCCTCTGGGGTTTGCACGGCCGACCCTTCCCAGTCCCTCACGTCCGCTCCGAGGGGGTGCTGCCCAGACCAGGACGGCCCCCGCCCCTGCCCCCGCCCCACCCCAGCCCCCTGGGCGCCCCGCCCGCCCTACCTCGCCCACTCCTTGAGCTCCCTGTGGGACAGCGAGTGTCCTTCCCGGAGGGTCACCACCGCCGTGACCCGCTGGCCCCAGGTCATATC